CCTATATTCATATATGAATACAAATTATATATATTATATACTCTCTTTATATTATCATATAAATATATCCACTTTGAAGTGATGCTGATGAATAGATTCAGATTTTGGAGTGTATGTATTGGAACTTCGAGGTGTCAGATTTCATTCCAGTTCGGTATATTCCTATGGTTGTTTACGTTTTTCTGAAATTAAATGTTCGGTACCTTAATATTCGACGATAATTGGGTTAGGGTTCATAGTTGCTATGGGCCATGTAGGGTTTTATATAATTTCATCCAGAGTTAATATTTGTAAATACATACATATCATATATATTTAGTATCGTGTGTGTATTTGTGAATGAGTGCACATATTTATATCATTGCATACAGTTGAGTTTATATACCGAGAGGAATTCAGATGTCAATTACACATGCGTATACATAGCTTACGCACTAAACATGCACAGTTCTCAAATAGGATTAGTAAAATAAAAATCGGGTTTCTATTGCATGTACTAGTTGATGCCAACGTTGGATCACGACACCAACAGTCAACCTGATACAGAACTGATGTACGAGGGGGAGCGATATGTATTACGAATCACGGAATTAACCGTGGCATTGATGCTAATTTTATTCAGAGTACATGATCAGTGGTAGCTGATGGGTTAGGTTATTGCAACTTACCGGGTAGGTTTCCCATTGTTATATCAATGAGTTATCGTATGTAGAGTAGCCAAAGCGATACATATGTACGCTGGCGCATTCTGTAGTTAGTATCTCTATTCCTTTATCTCCGGGAAACTCATATTCTGTATATCACTACACAAACACGCTGTCGCATAAACCATTTTACAACACACTACACACTCACTAGTCTCATCAATACTACACAAATTTGATCTTTCTTACCACTCATATGCGCACTATGAAGCAGTCGAATACGTTTACGTATAGAGTCCTTGCCAAGACGATCCTCTCGTTATTAGTCCTAATATGCGCAGTGCTCGGTATATATGCTATATCTGCAACCAGTGAAGACACATTCGACTTCTTGGACTTGCCCACTGCGTTCACATTCCCAGGGCATATACAGCATGAGAGTGCAAGACCAGAGTGGTATCCTGCTCGTTTCTATGGCAACCATGGTTTAGACGAGGAGGAAGAGGAACCCCCTGCATTTGGTATAGGTAACGACAGCAAAGAGAAGATAGATTCGGTATTTAAAGAGGATGATAAGCATGCAGATAAGTTAGAATATACGGCCGAAACAGGCTCTAAACAACCCGTGAACGATGGCAAGGGCGATAGCAATGAGTCAATATCTACGTCAAATTCACAGGCGGACATCAATGAGAAGAACAGTCTGAACTTGGAGAAGACAAGCAGCTTAAGTGAGAACGAACCGATTGTCCCGGACGTCAGTGAGGAAGACCAGAGACAGGGGAGTGGTATAGCTGCAAGTACTATTGTTGCACCTAAAATAGATACCAGCAAGACTGAAAGTCGAGGCGGCTTAGCGGATGTGGGTACTGCAGTTGACGCTGGGAGTGGTGATGCTGATCTTATAAATACCAACAACACTAAAGGTCCGGGCTTAGCGGACGATGGTACTACTGTGGGTGTTGGTGGCAAGGTACGTTCAGGGACAGAGGCGGCTGTAGAGGTCAAGCCAGAACAGTCAACGCCTGGCGATGTAAGGGAGAGTTTGGCTACTTTGGTGGCAGAAGGAGACCGACTGCAACACGGGGACAAAGGGGAACACAACCCGAATGGTATACCATCCCGGGATGCCGAGGGGATGGTAGACATTCAACCAGCCGACATGCACTCGAATGTATTAGACCTAAGTGTGAGTCAGTACCAGGATGAGATACCATCAAAGGGTATAGTAGAGTTGGTAGATACACAACCCACGGATAAGGATGCTGATGTGTTAGCAGGAGACGTTCAGCATCACGAGGAAAAGGTGCAACGGCAGCACAACGGGTTGTCATCAAAGACTGGAGGGGCGGGGGTAGAGGAGCAATCTTTAGATGAAGGTGCTCAGACGCACACAGATGCAGGTGAGGAACACAGGCTTGGATGCGTGTGTGTGTTGATGGTGTTAGTTTTTGCTTCGGTGTTTGTTGGGTAGGAGGTATGATATACTGATACCAAATTCACATGCTCTCGGCGGATTCATGCACGTTTTAGGTTTTTTAATTTTAAACAGCTGAAACGGATTTTTAATATTAGCTGAGGAGGGTTTCAAGCTGAAGGGGACTTTAACTTGTAAGGGGTTTAACTTCCCAATACTAGCTGAAGAGGACTTCAACCTTAAGTACTAGTTGAAGAAGTTTTCAACTCCTGAATACTAGCTGTAGGGGACTTTCACCTCAGATGATAGCTGAAAAAGCTTTTAGCTTCAAACTACTAGCTGAAGGATACTTTCACTTTAAATACTCGCTGAAGAGGGGCTTAACTTCTTAACACTAGCTCAAAAGGGGGTTTGCCTTTAAGATACTCACTAAAGTAGTTTTCAGCTCAAATACTGGCTGAAAGAGGTTTAACTCTAATTTCTACCTGGAGGGGGTTTCATCCTCTAACTCCAAGCTGAAGTTGCGACTCAGGTGTGGGGAAAAGTGCTGAAGACGCCTGCACGGGTGTTCTCCCTTTTGTACTCAGATAGCCGTGGCCATACAAATCGATTGATGTCAGCCTACTTTCGAATGAGTATCGGCCAAAGTGGCTGTACTACCCGTACCCACAACTTCACAAGCACGTTTGTGTGGAGGTATATCTCACTATCCTGCATCACATTTCTCGACTATTAGATTAATGATTTATATTGACACTGCTTTACCGTTTCCAGAAGATGAGAACATCGGAACGCCGATCTCGCTCGAGCAGGCGGTGTTAAAGCAGCCCGCGCGCCAAATATGTACCATCGCGACATATACGGGTATGTTATACTTGTAATACACTGGAAGAATGGTTGTGCATTGTACACATACTATAGAGGTGATCATAAATGTGATCATACCTGCATATGCATATATATAGATATATATTTATATAACACGATTATATATATATATCACGATTATATATATATATATATATATATATATATATATATATATATATATATATATATATATATATATATATANAAACTACACACGTAACGTACGTAACGTAC